TGGCGATGTTGAGCATATAATAATAATTTTATTGTATTGTGGTGTTAAAATTAATAATTATTAATTTTAACACCACAATACGGGTTTGCGATATTGTTTATAGAAATTGGCATGTGTAGATATGATTAAATACTTAAAAAAGTAATAATATGTTGGTATTTTGCTACAGTTTAACAAATACTGTGATATCTACATCAAATTTAATAATTAAAACATAGCCTAATATAGTAAACCTAAATATTATATGATTAAAATCTGTTCAATTCTGTATATTCAAGTATTTATTCAAAATGCCTTATTTTTATAAACTGTTTACTGTGTCAATTATTTACAAAAATACAAGGGCAATTTGTTGTCGTGATTTGATAACCTTTTATTCGTAGAACAAAACGATGTTATGATTGTTTAAAACTAATGAATGATTTATTCTTTTAGGTGTATAAAGTTTGTCAAAGCATTGATTACATGATTACATCATAAAGTAAGATTTGCTGATAAGAAATACATATTACACAACTTAATTTTAATTAATTATGTTAGTACTAATAACGGAATGAGCAAAAAAATATCAATTAGATAATACTTAACTATTATTCAACAAAAACGAATAAGGCAGGATCAAATACCCAATAAAAGCTGTTAGCTAACAATAATTAAAATAATTAATTATTCTAGATACACGAAGCTCAAGATATGGTGCAATAGGTACTATTTTTAACCGCACGGTTGCACAAAACATGTTCATGTGTTTTGGAAGTGCATGTGATAAACATAATGTTATCTCGACACAAATTCTTGTACTTTGACCCGCTCTACTATCTGTGACCGCAACTAAATTGTTTGTTGTGCGTTAATTGTTTTCCGATGAGACAACACATGCTCTGTCCATTATATTATCGATATTGTTCTCTGCTAGTGGGGACTGGGGACGCACTGCATACCATGCCGATGACGACGTCGTCATTAATGCAATATAAGGAATTCATTCATCGACATGCCCTCAATTATCTTCATTGTAACGTAATTCATTGTAAATAACATAATGAAATACTGAATACTTTTCTGATACATACTTAATTAAGCTTCTAAATGAACCATGAACAGGAAAGAAGCCTTTTAATAGTAAAGGAAGCTTCATATAGATGTCGGGCATCAGATTACACAACTTTATCGGCGTGTTCCAAAAAAAAAAAATGAGCAGTGTTTCAACAACAAACTATTAGAATATTTAATTCACTTGTTTGTGTCAAACGAATCATTTGTTTACCGTATAAACCTACCTACTCTACTACTAATATTTAAGGAATATTTTTTATGAAGAAATTAAAAATAAACAATAAATAAAATACGCCTGTAGTCTTCTTGTGAAGAAATAGATGCCTAGTTAATATCAGTAATGAAGTTAAAATGTTTTATTTACCGCGTTAGTCAGTGGTTAGGTAAAAATAAAGAGTATATTGCGAGCTCACCTTACCCGCGGGGCCACAATTTGAAGGTTATCAGGAAAATAAAAGCTACGGTTAAGGCCCTTGAATTAATTCATCGGTCATCGAACTTATCACGCCCGTGTGTCGCGAAAATAATTAATAAGAGTTCTTTGAAAAAGGTAGCTATTGTGAATTTCGAAATCGTATTTATTGTTTTAATTGAATTAGAATATTTTCTATTTAAATATCTACTAGTCATTCAGTATTAGGAATTAATTTGGAAATTAATTACAATACGTTTATACTAAAATATTTTGTCTTATACATATATAAATTTAAAGGTATCCCTTGTTACATTTCTGAGTGTTAGACAGATATACATATTTGTTATAAGACCGTTGAAGATTTAAATATTTAATATGCGAGGGGCACTCGAGCAGGTGGTTCGAGAGCGGCGGATATTACTTCCAATGGAGGGTCAAAGGACCACTCAAGGCCGCAGCCACGACATTTCGGAACGTCGATAACCTTCGCTAGGCGCCTTTGTAATTTGTTTTGCCAATACATACTTCCATATCATACAAAATATCCTCAGTTCACGGTGTTCTTTACCTGTCGTCTCATGATTCGGTCACCGCCAATGGGTTAGCCATATTTATTGTACACGCGGAAGTCTTGAAGGATGTTGCTGTGCATTTATTAAAATTTACAGTAATAGTTGTTCATAAATATTTACGTTCTCGCACAATAGTACGTAAATCATTGTTACATGTGTAAGGAATCAGTATTTTATTAGAGTGCAATGACATGCACTTACACGTACGTGCTACAGTTGCATATAATACATATAAATAACATATTGGAATAGCTAAATAACGTGCAACAGTGTCGTACGACCTTGTCGTATTTGCACGTGTTTTCAATAAATATCAAAGATTCCTATTGCCATGGAAGTAATTATATTTTGTTGCAGGGGGTTTAATATGAGAAAGAAAAATGACAATGGAATGGTTTTGAAGATGATGACCTTTACATGATCTTATACTTTCCTTATCTTTATTATTCGCCACAATAAAGTTGACAATGTTGTTTGTTTTTTGAGTTCATATAGCAACAGGAAAATATAATAATACATAAATAACAAAAAAGTGGAAGTCATATTTTTAAATAAATTTTTCGTAATGTTCAATCAAATGTTTTGTTTTGTAAATTATTTATTATTCACAGATAAATCTTATCTGGGTATGATTTTGCGCATGGGTTATCGATCGTTATCGTTGTATTATCGATACACCTACGCCAATTTTTTAAAGTCATGAACCGAGTGAATTGTATTCCTCTTTATCAAATAGTGTTCTTCTCTTTATCAAACGTTTATCATGTTTGTTATTTACTCCAATGTTGAATATCTACACGCTAGATTCAACTTAAGTGAATATTGAACATTATCACCGTAGATTAAAATGGAGGTGTATAATAATTAATAACAGACAATACATTATCATGCGACGCACCGTGGGGTTTAAGCCATCGTATAATACGAGAGCTATCGAAAAATGTCTAAAATTAACCTATGCTCCTTCAAATAATATTTTCAAATGTACTTTACATATTTTATAGTCAAGCCAATGGCTACCTAAACAATATGTTTTTTCTGCTCCATATGGATACCGTATCACATAAAAACAGTGCCAGGTGGTGGGTTCAATGGTCGATGCAGCTTTTATTTTGTTTTGAAACGTAGCTTCATCGGGGCCCCGTCAGGGGTTGCAACTGCGTATGACAAACAGAAAAAAGGAAACAACTTCTATCCACCTGGCGTTTCTTATATGCATTAACCTGAATGAAAAACAACTATAATGTTTGGAAGTCGAAAATTGTTCGTCTGTTGCGTCGAGAAGACTGTATTATTCACAACACCTGTCGTCACATAAAATTTTATTTACACACTTATTAGTACACATAAATATATAATGTACATACTAACGTAGGTATGATAATATTTGTGAAACGTCAGCATTACTTACACGCGCTGCACACAATGTCCCCCAAATACATGTGAATAGGTTAGCTTAGCGTAAACAACTAAAATTTATACCTGTTTAATGTTTACCTTGTAATTGTTTTCTAACTCTGCAATTTTAAATATTTTTAGCAACAATGATTTATTTACGGTACTAGACTCACTGTCACTTTGTTTCTAGATATTTACAAAGCACGTGCCTGGCGTGGCTTGGCATCATCTTAATATTTCTCAGATTTTTGATTAACACAATACTGTCCGCATCGTAACTCAGCATCTGTCCTAAATTTTATTATTAAATTAATTCCAATGGAAAGCGACCCTTACAAAACCTGAAAATAGTATTCAATCAGTGTTGACTTTGTAGCAGAGATTAAGTAGTATCAAATAAATGATAAGGTTAAAGAATATTGTTGAACATACTAAGTGTTCTTCATGAATGCAAGGGATGACAATCAAAATGCACATGTTGTGTGCCCGTCAGTTAGCACGAGCTTCGTGCACGTGCCGCCAACAGCTGCTGTGGCCTACTCAACCTACCTTCATAATACATATTAAAAAAATCGTCTTTAGTTATCCTGTTTTTACGTTTTAGTTTTTTTTCATATCATAGATATAAGACGCTGAACATGTTATTTATTCACACTTCTATTTGAGACAAGATCAAATAGATCGGAATGTTTACTACCAACTGACATAGCATTTAATTGATATAAGTAAATAATGAAACCATAATCAATCTGTTAAATAAATAATTATTGTAGTCTTCTTAGAGATATCGAATCTACTCGTACTCACAGATTACTCTTTTATAATCTGTGCTCCGAGTACTTAAATTTTAATAAATATTTGATATTTTTTTTTGTTATTCTATTTTTTCTATGTTAAATTAATTAAAATTCCGTTTCTATGAACATTTTAACATCAAAATCAGATTAAAGAATAAAGTATTAAGTATTTTATAGAATTATTGTTGGACTGATATAAACAGTAACAGTTGGGTAGCGCAGATGCACAACACTGCGTAGCGTCCTCTTTTTTGTGCATAGCAGTCACCGTCACCGTACAGCTGCATTCAACTTAATTTTATATTGATTTGGTTCCTACTTCCCACTCACGTTGCAGTCCGCCCGCCCGCCAGTAAGTTAATAACAAGATTGAGAAAATATTTTGGGTTTATTATATTCCGTCATGTTTTATCTATTATAGTTAATAAATTTCCTTAATTTGTTTATTAAATAAATTATCAGTGTTTTCTTAGCGACTTTCTTACTTAAACATGTGGTTAATTTTAAAGTGTAGGCTACACATGCCGTGTATAGGGTGACATGCCACGCTTCGTCCTTCTCACATAGATTGAACTCTGAGGGTGGGTGGAGTGGGTTGCAAAAAGGAATGGGGTTTCACAACCACATCGAAACGCGCGCGCTGCCGCCGCGCCGCCGTGCCGCACCTCCCCCCATACGTATACATGCCAACCGATGCGATTATTCTGTCTAGCGGCGAGAGAGAGACGTAGTCAATGCTCTGTACGCGTCAGGTCGCTTCGTTGCATTCCAGTATAAGTTGTCAGTCCGCAACGCGCCGTTTGACCGAACGGACGTACGCGCGCGCTTCCAACATTGGAAAATTATCGTTGTTTATTTATTTATCTTGAATTACATATCTTTCATTTTTTTGTGCGTGAAAATTGTCTTTAATTTTTTAATAGTGACTGAATATTTACGAATGAACTATAATCTATCTTAATGAACTGTGATCGTGTTTTTGGCCGTTTCAAACAATAACAAAAACGGTAGAAAACAAAAGTGTGAGGACAAGCCGAAATGAGCGGATTGACCAACAGAGTTAAAAGAGGATCGAGAGGTAGTGCCACACTTCTCGAAGCAGCGAACAGGATTTTGCGATTACTTGGCGTGAGCTCCACGAAGCGCGGGAAACAGCCCTCGCCCAAATCCAAGGTAAGGTCATTGACTGTCTGTAGCTCGTGTTTATGTGTACCCCCGTATCGGTTTGTTTATACTCAGCTAAGTTGAATAACGATTGATTTGTTAGGTTGACTTCAAGTTTAGATTGGTAAAGTGACCGTATTATATATTTCTTTAGGTACGATTTATAATTAAGCAATATTCTGTTAATGCGAGCTGTTAAAATATTAAGAATTCATAAATGATTTTGAAAATTAAATATATACTTATTATTAATTTTACGGTTTCAAGTAGACAAAAATCGAACATTTAACTACCTATGGTAAATGTTAGTAAACTTTCGCTGTGCAAAGCGGTGATTGCACACTTTCGCCCTGTTTTTTTGTATGTAAAAATGTCAATGGATGACTTCGTTCACCGTTCACAAGGCGAGCGTGCGTCTCTTCTCGTGTGATACAAACAAACATCGTTGAGCGGCGGGCGCGGCTTACAACACTTGTTTGTTCACGCGTCGCCGGCGTGACCACCTTGTTTACCATTGCGAACTCCTCACGATCTCCGCATTCAACAGACCGTTACGGCTGCAATCATTCAACTATCGTAAACATAAACGTATCCTTCAGATACTGGGTACACGCAGATTGTTCAGTTAACGTTGCCGCGCAATATGCATGATTTGCACGACCTTTAACAACGCTAGTGGTGCGCTCACGTGGGTAGGTGTAATAGCCAAAAATATTTGCATCAGCTGATGCCTTCAGCACCTTATATTATTATTCCTTCAGTTTTTCAAGTAACTCATTTATTTATATGAGGTGAGATGTATTTTGATCTCAGTATCGTATTTGGTAGAATAGATACGTAGTTCTTGTATAATTGTCTGATGATTCCTTCGTCCAGTGAGTAGAGAAATCAAAACAATATTTTATCTTCCTGCAGCTTAATAACATGACTAGGCAGTTTTGAAAAAGCAGGCAACTATATGTATAATAGTTAGATATTTTTTACATATCGCCCTTTACCCAAATATTATTGTCTAGATAAAATTGACGCCAACGCCACCGCCAATGTTTGTCGTACGTCATCACTGATGTTGTGGCGTAATACCTTTCGGAGGAGGTTATGTACACCCACATTCTTTATCTTTTCTGATAATTTTGTAGGGCTTGTTTTGTGGAAAAATACAGGTTGCACTGGAAATTCACCTACTTATATTCCAACACATCAATAACGGAACATGGTTCTTATTAATTGAATAGATGTGAGTTATAATTAAAGTACCATCCACCACAACCATCATATAAATGACTTTTTTTTTACTCCAAGGTGGATAGTTCTTTGAAGGACCGTCTTATCTACGTAGGAATATTTAAAAAAAATATCAACTGTTTACGAACGTAAACAAAGGTAGTGTCGCATCATACATAAGTACTTACAAATTAAAGGTCGTTCCGAGTGCGACGAAGGATGTCGCCTGTTGTTCAACAAAGGTTTATTTTACACTTCGTGATTAATGATCATGCAGTGTAAATTTTCATTCATCTTTTGTATTTCACTTAACATATGTATTCAAATAATAATGGCGGTCAAATAAATTCCCCATGATACTTAGCTAACTGTTAAATAAACATGTGAATGCTGACTATACGTTAGTTAACTCTAAAACGGATGTAGTCTGTAGGAAGAGTAAACAAAGATACCAAGTTAAATGCACTACATCCGTCGCTAGCCTATACATGCATTAAATTGACGAATAGTATGTGACATAGTATTTTTATTTGTACACAAAATAATCATTTAAGCTGCATTATTTACTAGTACAGACTCACAACATTACGTAAAGTCATGTGGGTTATGTCGCAAACGGCAATGCAATGGTGTAAAGGAACATTGAATGGTGGGGATCTAGGTCGGGTATGAAGTCGGTGTTAGTAGACGGTGGAATCCGTTGGTGTGGGAATGCGAGTGTAAGTACCGTTGCGACGGTGGTCTACACCGCCGCCGCCGCACCGTCCCAACGCAGTGCCCCAGCCGCGGAATGCGAGACCCATTTTGCGGCGCTTACAACAGAGCTTAATTGTTTGTGACTCATTTCCTAAACAAATTTCAACCATAAGCAGAGTTGAAATTTGTAGATGGTTACAAATATGTAATTAGTAGGTGACAATAAAGGGGAAGTTTACATCTTGTTTTATTTAAAGGTTGAAAAGATTTAAAGTATAATTTACCTTCTTGTTTAATTTTTATTTAATTTCCGTCGTGTACAACCTCTATGATCATCTCTTAAGTAACGAATATTTTAACTATGATTTTGTAACAGTTATACAGTTTACAACTCCTCGCCTTATTCCTTAGTATAAATCAAATCTTGGAAATAGAGGCAAGAGCACAAATACTTTCACTAAAAGCAGTGTCGGCGAGACAATTTTGCAAATGCGAAAAGAATGTCTAACCTAAAAAACAAATGTACAGTGGAAATTGAAGAATGGACTTCCCGCAAAGTAACTGTTAAATTATAGTTACTTTCATTTGCCGCTTTTCATTAAGTTTGCTTTTGGCTAATATACCGTTAAACACGAACTCGCGGTATTCTGCAGCGTTGCTAGAAAGAGATAAAATCGCGAATGCAGCTGCTATCTCTTTCACCACTCACGTTGAATGGAAGCATCATTTTTTGTTCGACGACGGCCCCGTAAAAAATGAACAAAAACTCTAGCTACGAACTCGAAAAATTGGATCATCGAACTGTAGGCGAGGCCAGTGAACGTGGCAAGCGGAACATTTTGACTATTTAAATCCTCGATGCTGAAATCTTAGATTTGATGTAAAAAAATTTGGTATATAAAATATTAAATGTTTTTTGCTTCTAGTTTCAAAATAATTCAAGGATATTTATAAAAAAATAAATTATTAATCAAGTTATTTTCAAAAAAGGTTGCCGTTTTAGGATATCCCTGCATATAAAAACAATATCGTTTTTTTCTTCTTCAATGACATTAAATCTTCAGGCAATATCGTTGACCAAAGAGAATGACGTTCCATTGACAAACTGTTGTAAACACGACATGATGAATTCCAAGTAACATTTTAAAATTTTTATACCGCGTAGTTTTAAGCATTGTATTTAGCGGTCACCTAAATTTAAAGAAACCGGCACTGCAGACGGCGCGTTGCCCCCTGGCCCCCACCGCGCATGACGTACCCACCACCGCTGCCGCCGTCGCCGCTGCTGCCAGCCGATAAACAAGTGCACGCTTTCGAAGCGCGACGACGTCGCATTTCTCTCACGACGTTCCACTAGACAGAGTCTGTGATCAAGTCCCTACAGTTATGTGAAATAAATATTGATGATATTTTACTCAGTGCGTGTTTTCATTATTACAGATTAACGGCCGAGCGTCTAGTGAGTTACGGGCCCCAATTGCTGCGGCCGAAGTCATAGTAGAGACGCCTATCAAGATGCAAGCAGCGCCTGCGCCCGCACCGACAACGCCGGCGCCTGCATCCGCTGCGCCTTCAGCACCAGCGCCTTCGCCAGCTGCTAGTCAGGCACAAAAGCCAACCAAACGAACTGCTAAAGATTACATTTTTGGAAAGCTAATTGGCGAGGGTTGTTACAGTACAGTTTTTCTTGCAAAGGATATTCACAGTGGAAAGGAATATGCAAGTATGTATAAATATTTTGTTGTATATATCTTTGGAATGATAACCTATGTTTTAGAAGAATATTAACATATTATTATTATTTTCAGTTAAAGTATGTGAAAAACTACACATCATCCGAAAGAAGAAAAGGGAATACATCAGACGTGAAAAAGATGCTCTAAACATGCTGTTTAATGTGCCTCATGGTTTTGTAAAACTGTACTGCACATTTCAAGATGAAGAAAGGCTATATTTTGTTTTGTCTTTTGCAAAAAATGGCGAATTGTTGTCTTACATAAATCAAGTTGGCTCTTTTGAGCTCAATGTAGCTAAATTTTATGCGGCCGAATTATTAATGGCTTTAGAAAAAATGCACGCCAAAGGAATAATTCACCGCGATTTAAAACCAGAAAATATATTATTAGATGAAAATATGCACTTGCAAATTGCTGATTTTGGTACTGCCAAAATTCTCGAACCGGAAGAGATTCGTGCATCGTCAAATAATGCGGATGACACGCAAAATGAACGATCTAGAAAAATTAGTTTCGTTGGAACACCGCAGTATGTTAGTCCAGAACTATTACACGACGGTGTCGACACACGTGCCTCAGATTTGTGGGCGTTGGGATGCATTATTTATCAAATGATTTCGGGTTTGCCTCCATTTCGAGCGGCTACAGAGTTTCTCACGTTTCAAAAAATTCTTAAGATGGATTTCGAATTCCCAGAAGGTTTTCCTGCAGATGCCAAAGATCTTGTCGAAAAGCTCTTAGTATTAGATCATTCTAAGAGACTTGGCGCTACTGACAAAGGCGAAACTTATGACAGTATTCGCAGCCATCCATTCTTCGCTGGAATTGAATGGGATAACGTGTGGGATCAGACGCCGCCAACTATTAGCCCATATTTACCCGGCGGTTCGTTTGAAGAGGAATATAATGTGCCCGATCATCTTGAACCAGGACTAGGCAATCAACAACTTGTAAGACTGTGGGAATTCGACTTATCTACCTCTAAAGGTAATTGTCAACATTTTACTATAGTCTTAAATTATCGTCTCTTATTAGTAAAGTCTGCATCATTTATTTTAATACAAGTCTAAAATAAAACGTTAGTAGATTGTGTGTATATCCGATGTGGACAATTGCAAAGTCTTGGGCGAGTGCAGTGAAGCGACGAGTAAGAGGCAACTGGTGCGTCCATGACCTGAATTCTTGGCAAATTTATACGCTTCTCGTTTCATAACTAAACCGAGTCCAATAACGTTTTATTGTATGATTATTTCCAAATAAGCTATTTTTTTTTCATATGTATTGTTCATAGACAGACTATTCTGCAGATGATCGTAATATGATTCTTGCACTCATTGCACGAGTAAAAACTACGTCATCGCATTCACTGCTGTACACATTCAGAACGGATGTCCTCAGTCAGTATATGGTTTACGGTTTTATAGTTGGTATGACGTCAACTTTCCGGCACGTCGCCGCCGTCCCGGAGTGGCACATTCTCAACCGCTTATGCCATGACATGAATGACTCGCTCGTTACGCCCTACGTATTTTATTAATGTTGACCTTATAATCAGCTGTGTGTGTACACGCAGCTGTTTTATAAAACATTGAATTTGATAAACGTATCAGATAGTTAGATCTTTGTTATTAAATTAAATATGTTTACTTTCAGGAATCTTGAACATTAGTCCAGAAGAAAAACGCCGTCGTCTCGAAGTGCAATCTCGGGAGAGCAAATGGCACCAGTTTGTCGACGGAGAGTTGATTTTGAAGCAAGGCTTGGTGGACAAGCGAAAGGGTCTATTTCCACGACGTCGTATGCTACTGTTAACCACAGGGCCACGCCTATTTTATGTAGACCCGGCTAATATGGTGCTCAAGGGTGAAATCCCTTGGTCGCCTCAATTACGGGTTGAAGCCAAAAACTTCAGAATATTTCTAGTTCACACGGTGAGTAATTATAGTGCCTGAATATCATCTTTAATATATTATTTAAATCATGCTTCATGCTTCATCATTTTGCGGGTATGCTTATTTGTTTATAGCCAGATGTAACAACGTTGTTTTTTTTTCAGCCGAACCGTACATATTACTTGGAAGATCCCGATTCATATGCTTTGGAGTGGGCGAGCGTAATCGACGAAGTACGCATCGGAACATATGGACGGGATACGACTTAAGCGACGGCGCGGCCGCTGCTCCGAGTCGCGTCCGCGCCGCCGCCGCGGCCCCTCGGGCCTCGCGCCCGCTCCTCGTACCTCACACGGCGAGTTCACACTTCTAGGTTACTTCTAGCCTTGATTTAGAGCATGGCAAATTCCAAGCCGAAAGCTTTCGCGTCGATGATCGACCTCGTGCTGAGTCCTAAGTTATGCATAGGCCAGTGCGGGGCCGGCTCGCCTCGTGGCGTCCGCCGTCGCCGCTGTCACCGCCGCGGAGCGTGCCGTGAGCCACTGGCGGCGCTACATATGTTCAAAAAGCGCACGAAGCAATGACAGCCGGGCGCTCTGCACGCCGGACGGTGTTACGAGACGACAACCGATCGACTACAGCTCGATCACTGTGGATACTGAATGACTGATTCCTATTAATAATAAATAATATCCCGACTATCTTAAATTATTCTAATTTAAGTTCCTTATTTAATTGTGGAATACCGACGATGATGTGTAAATATGTCTTAAATTATTATTGCGATTGCTTAGTAATATTTAATTGTGGGGCAATGTAACAAATGTAAGTTTTATTGTATACAGGCCTCTTGTAAGATTGGACTTGTTATTCACCACCTGCGTGTTCACAAAGCCATTCCGGTTGGTAACTAGGCAATTTATAGCTAAATTTAATATTTATTTTATGTTTAATTTTTTGCCAACGGAATGTGACTGCTGTACAGTTATAACCGTAGAAATGTATGATTATGTTTCTATATTCTACTCCAACTAAGTTGATCAATGACAATTGGTATAGTAAGAATTAGCAAAGTTGTATATTTTAAATGGAAGGACCCATTGTCAGATCCTGGTTGCTGTAGAAATAGAAGCAGCTAGATGAATGAAGAGTAGCCTCTTCACTAATTAATAGAGAGTTTCGGCTCAAGCAATCACGGCACCGTGATTGGTTGCCTTACTTTCAGAACTCTGTTTGAGTATAATACATTAAGCTCTGAAATGGCATAGGAGACTTTGTTTCAATGCTTTTTACGTGCAAGTTACTTGTGCTCTTTAATTGTATCTAACATAGCAAAGGTATACGGAAACTGCCACCAAAGGTGACAATTATAATGCTATTTCATTGCTTGGTAATTAATTGTCTAAAATATATTAATTTTGTTAATTGCAGTCTAATTAAGATATTGGGATTGCTTAATGGATAGTGACTAGTGCAAATTTGTTTCTTAATGTTTTGTGTTGTTATAAACAGTGATTGTATTATGGCCATAGCTAATGTTCAATGTCATGGCACTTTGGGGTCTAAAATTGTATGTAAATTATAATGATTACTTTTATCATTTAATAATTTTTATAATAGCAGGTTTTATAATTAAAATGCCTAAAACTTGCCTGTAATATTTAATAATGTTAGGGCTTAATGGGATTTAATCCATAGTTCAATATGAGACCCTCATTAGCAAAATGTAGAAAATTAAGATTTCACTAAGTAGCATGAAGAACTGTTTTATTAATTTCATAGTATATCATGGGCAATGATATACAATTATATAATTGGTCAGCATAAATTGGACTTCTCCATGACATTGTTATAATTAAAATTAAAACCTGCATTTAAAATTTAATAACTGTTAACTATTGTAATTATATTTTACAACATTTGTATTGCATAAATTCCATAAAGTAACAATATAAGAAATTGAAATAAATTGAAGTTGATTTTTAATAAATAATTTTGTTTTTCTTTCAATACTTACACCATTTCTGTCCCATTCCTAAGTTGGATCTTATAAAAAAACGAAGGTAATTAGCTGTTTGGAGAAACAGAAGTTATTTTATCTATAGTTACTGACAGGTTTACAGAATTTTCATAAATAGCAATATTCACAATGAAGTAGAAAGAAAAAGACTTCAAGAATTGCCTGTAGAAAAAAAATACAATACGTAAAGAAATACCATAGGTAGGAGGAGGAGATGAAGGAGACACTCCTGGAGAAGGCGAACAGTGACATACATACCTTGGGAAATGAGATCATAGTTGATCAGATTATAGTATGATTGTACACAGAATAGTAGGCATTCAATTTAGTGCCTACTAAAGATGCTATTCAGGTACATCCTAAGACAAGTCGGGTAGGTATTCCTATAACATATATATATGTATATATGTATATATATATATACCTAATTTAATTTAATTATTTCCTAATTTCTTTCCAGTTTCTAGTTAGATAAATAATTTAGTGTAAACCCTCCCCTAAGGCTACCCACTGACCGAAATCTGTTTCCAATACATACATAACCCCTAAGTTATTTAGATACTTCTTGTTAATTTAATTCTAGATCAATGTTCGTAACTATTTTAGGGAACTTACCAGATTCTGCATGAACAGGTACAATGTAGGTACCAGTTATTACATAAAAACCAATGATGTATAAAACTATATAATACGTCATTGATAAAAACAATGTTTATGTAATTTCGTAAAAAACACTCCTGCCTTTCCTAATTTCCTACACCATAAATTAATATTAAAATACTTCAAAATCTATTCAAAGGAACAGAAACAGTGTTTGGAACCCATTTGAACTTACTGATTTTTTTTTCAAAATAAAGAACATACAATTCTGATCACAGTACCAGACACAAAACTATAATCTACAGAAGGTTCTTGTAGCGCCACCTATGATCTATTAAGTTACATCAATTACAAATTATAACTCACTTGTTTACCATTTTAAAATAATTCCCAATAGAGTTCGCTAGTGTTTTATTTGAAATTCTTTGTCGCTTCTTTGTGCGTTATAGTCATATACGAAACAAGTATAAAATAATATTACGGTCACTTTGTGGAAAAACTAGGGTCACGAAGATGTTATAATTTTTAGGACGGACGGACCGAGGAAGGGGAAAGATTGATACTGTGTAATATCAAGTGATAATGTGTTATATTTCTGCAAAGCGATTTTAATTTTTTTCTATGGCAATGTTCATTGCTAATGTCAGTTATCCAGGCCATAAACTCCAAAAAAAAAAAAAAAAAACTAATGTCAGTTTAATTGTCAACTTGATTTTGATGGCAAGTGAAAATGTCATAATAATATACCTAACCTATAAATGCGATAGGTACGCTAATTATTCAATATCTATTAATCCTAAAATCAAATATATACACTTCACACTTAACATAATGGCCTCTACTGTTATTAAATATGTCGGAAGAACAACTGACTTTAAAGGAAAGACTCTTTGGGAAATTGTTGGGAGTTTGAAAAACCTAGGTGTTGGAAGAATCATTGTTCGATCAGTTTTCGAAAGATACCCAGAGCCTAGCTTTATGAAGATTGTTAAAGTTGAAACCTGTCCAGACGAGGTGAGATATAAGTCAGATTTTTAACATATTCGTTTATAAACAGTGGTATTCAATGGGTACACACTATCTGTTCAGTCCTATTCTAACATATTTAAGTCAGTGTGGTAAACTTTGGTAGATTCCAGATAAAGTGTACCTATTTAAAATGTTTCAGGAACGACGTAGAGTAAGAATATGGGTTGAGAAAACATTTAGAGGTCGCAAGATGCCGAATTTGACTGAAATATATCGCACATCTTACAAACCTGATTACAAACTCATTCCTAAGAATGAGGAGGCCAAATTGCTAGCCAGTGTGAAGGAAGTGCACGACTACCCCGAGGTGATTCTACCGAGAAATATTGAGATGCCACCACTTATGAAAAAGTTTATTATCAAGGATCATGAAAAGAAAGGACTGGAGGTGCGTAATACTATTTTTTTAAGTGCGGAAGAGCTATGCTTTTGCACAAATTGGTTGGCTCAACCGGAGTGATACCTTGGCCTCACAGAAACTGTGTTTCCTTATGTAAGTGAGGTTACTACAGGCCCTATCCCCAATTCTCCAAATTTCTGATCCCCAAAAGGTCGGTAGCACACTTTCAATTCGTCTTGATGCCTATGGGTGTCTATGTGTGCTGCTGATTGCTTACCATCAGGTAATCCGTCAGCCACAATGCCACTAAAAAATCTTGCAGAACTTGGTATTTGGTTAAGGATCAGATAATGTCAATGTCATCACTAATATCTGTCCATTGGGGAGTTATGATTTCCAGATAAAAAATAAGTTTTGAATATACTACTTCCAAAATGTTAAGAGTTTAAATTTTTTATGTGTATTTTCCATTATTTTTCAGGTGATGACAGACTTTACAATGCCAATTACCTACAACTACAGTCCAAACAGAGTCAAGAGAATAGCAAAAGGTGATGAAAAGCCAACGGTTAAATTTTCTATGGGCCTTGGTACCCCTGCCAGTCCATCACTCTATGAAGGTGTGCCACTAAGTTAAAGGAAACAACAAATTAATATTACATGTTATTTTATTATAGAAATTATAGAGCAATAAAGTAGTTGATAACAATAATACACATTTGCACTGTATTTCATAAATTTTCTTGTTTTAACCTTTTTCACTGCCACATTAGGCAGAAGGACAATATGCAAAATCTATTCAAAAGTATTTTGAGAAGGAACATTAATCACCATGCTCACTAATGGGGATTGGCAACTTCAAACTTATAATTAGAAATTAAATAATAAATCGAAATTATAGGTCCAGATTCCCTCTCCATAAAATGTCAGTGGTGTCTTAACAATCATAGAAAGTATGTAAAACTAGAAATAGTCACATTGGAACATGTCAGGTTTCGAAAAAAAATTAAGCATACCTAGGGATATAGGGACAGTGAAAGCGACTTTGTTTTTATATTATCTAGTGATTTACTATATAAAGGTGGTAAAACAGGACATAAGAAATTGTGCGCTGATAACAGGCAAAAGGCAAAAAGTAAAGTGATCGGCGGCGACGACCTCTCGCGTCCGGCCTTGGTGGAAGCTATGGTGCGGAGCAAGAGGAACTGGGAAGCCATCCTCTTTCTGCGAAGGAGTAATGCTATTAAAGTAGGAGGCGGAGTGCATTAGGGAACCATCCTCCCCGTGCCCTATCCGCCCCAGTATGCGATAGTCCGGGCGTCGGAGTTAGACCGACGACGATCTTCGGCCAACGTAGGAGCGGATCTGCGGTAGGCCAGCAATGGTAGCTCGTCACACATCTGCCTTCTCTTTTATGGATTAAGCTTGACGCTTTATTAAACCTTGACGTTATGTTACGCATATACATGTGTGACAGTGACTCATGATGCATAATAGGTATAGTATTCACTCTCTTGGCTAACAATGTGGAAAATAATGGCCTTCAGTTTTTCGATTTCTAGGTCGAAATTCTGGCTAGGTGTACATCGATATTTTAAATGCGTCATTTTGAAAAATAAGAGACCCCACATTCAATACTCTTTAACTAAAAGATTTCGGACTGCAACAAGTAAACATAAACAATGACATTGCATTAAAATTGTGTGTATAATATAAACCTACACAGTTCACAACAATTTGCCATCCTTTAGGTACTAAAGAAACTTTGAATGCTGTAACTCCTCACTTTTCTTGGTATCGTCGAGAGGAAATTATGATTTTTTCATATGAGAAGCTGATGCAAATGCCTTGGCCAAAAATGGATTTACCTCCATTTCAGGAATTTGGCGTTCCACTTCAAGTTTCTGGGAATTTAAAAAAAAACAGTAAGCCAATAAGTCGAATAATGTGAATACTGCTGGGCAGAATCCAAAATCCGACAATAGGCTGGCTATGATTGGGTTGCGAGGCAATCGCAATAAGTCACCGGGGCCTCGGCCTAGAGCATATAGAGCTACGATAATGTATATATAGAGTTGGACATCGAGATGCAGTGGATGGTGTAGCTGATGATGTCATCATCTTCCTGCCCTTGTCCCGTTTTATTTGGGGTCGGCGCAATATGTTTTTTTCTTCCATTCTGTCCTGTCACTCGTCACGCTATCGCTAACTCCTCTGTCTTCCATATCACTTCTCACACAATCCATCCATATTTTCTTTGGTCTCCCCCTCCCTCTCTCTATCCATCCACATTTATACTCATGACTTTGTGTAGCTGATGATGTAACGTACCTAAATATATTCAGTTTTTTTTATAATAGAGGCATTTCAATAAATTTTAGTTTTTAGCTTCAATCCATTAAGCGATTCTTACAAATAAGTCTCAGCTAACCATCGTACATAATTAGTCATTCGATTAACATTCTCGATTACAAGACGTTTGATAGAATTTGTCACATAAGCCGTAAGCTAAAGGGTTTTTAAAGTGGTAGGGATTATTAAATTTTGAGTTGATACCAGAATGGTAAGTAGTTAACGTTAGGTCAGGACTTAGATTTGAAATTCACTGCAATCAACACAAATGGAATTTTGAATAAGAAGTACCAGAATTATATACTTAGCTACACTTACCAGAATTATATTATACTGCGGTACATAATTTATGAAACAGGCTAGTTTGTGGATAACCAACCTTTATGAAGGTTAGACTAGGAAACGATAAAGTGAGTAACACAGGTCGATGAATTACCTTCCAAAATTCGCGCATTTCTTGCACTTCTTCCTGTCGTTGTACGAAGTATTGGCGCACAGTTTTCTGTATGAGAGTGGCAGCATATTCCTCCGGCCACAACCAGGACTTCGGGTAATAAGGACGAGGCCTGGAACCATCATTGGAAATTTCATGGGGGTACAAACGTAATAATTCAACGCGGCTGGCTCGGACCAGAAGAAGGAACGGAGTAGCCAGTTTAGTCAATAAGATTCTGACAAGCCCAGCGGGGCAGGTGAAAACGCTGTAAAGATAATCCGCATTTAAAAATGTCTTATGTAATGTTCATAATAAAAATGGGAGGCCACTTATCAAGAACTTAAATCTTGGACCTTTTATTAATAAATAGATCTTTATGATGTGCCCTACCGGGTCCATATTGTTTCTAATATATTGTGTCCACTTTATAAAATATCACCTGTATAACATATGGAATGCAAATAAAGAATTGAATTGAATTGAATTGAATCTTAGTCTAGCAAGGTGGTAGGTAGTTGTGTTTTGCGGGAAGAAATAAAAAATAAATATCTCGTTATATAATTTAGTACCATCTTAGATGATCCCGTATTACTTCGCTGTCACCTCATGAGCTGTGACACTTACACAATTGAATGTTTCATCTATTCTGTAGGTACATCTATAGAATTGTTCTAGACTAATTGCCTAATTTTATTTTAGAACAATATGTTTATTTTATAAAACAGTCGAGGCCGGGGTATCTTATTTTGATCGTAAGTATGTTAATGTTTAAATACTTAGAATTGCCTTGGCAAAATTTTGTGCTTTACTCTGACTCACTGTGGTCCGTGTTTTATAGACATGACAATATTTAAATAGGTGCTTACTCCTTCTTGAGAGCCTTTCTAACCCAAGGCATATTGAATAAATGTAAATTCATGTCCTTTCGTCCTGGGTAGCGAGGGTTATTGTTCCATAGTACCTGCAACATATTTGGCTATATTTAATATTCGTTAAATGCTTATTAATAAGTAGGCTATATAACTCTGTTATTAATCGAAATACAGAAATTCACAAATTTTGAGTTGAGTTCTTGATCTGACGTATGCGCCGTTAGCAAATGTTGCGTACGTACGCATTAATCACCTCCAAATTTTTCTGGGCACGTGGAACAGCAGTCGTTCAGTCTTATCACGAATGACCAACTGTAGAGCCAAAAATCGCAGTTACCTGTACAATATGATCTATTCCGTTAAAGAAACATTTGTTTCTTGTAAACGCCTCCCAGATCTTAGCTTTATTGAGAGTTTCCACTAGGGCAGGTATGAGATGTACAAATACTTCATTTTTAATATAATCAGCTTCAGTTTCTGAAAATATTTGTTAGATACATTCAATATAGTTTACCTTTAGACAGGGTCTATCTTTTTTCTACTTTCATATTAATGAAATCATCAAAAATGTGATAATGCATATCTATAATAGTTATCTACTAACGGCGCGTCAAACGCCTATAAGTTGCCATGAGCAAATACTTCTTTTCATACGAAGGTTTGAGTGTAGCAACGTCTGGTCTTCTCTAAGTATCAACTATTCAAATGTCCATGTTTAATATTGGATCAAGTTATGAGAAGTATTTGCAAACTTACTGAGGAACGGTGATTTGGGTGCGGGTACTTGTTTGCTCTGGCTATATTCTTCCAATTGATTGCGCCATTCGTCACTTTCGTTGATGATATCATTCCAGTTTGCCTTTGGCTTCCTCTTAATTAGTATTGGGAAATCAACTTCTGAACAAGGCAGGCTGTCTGGTAATGTAAACGCCGCTGTATCATTATGTTCAGCGATATTCTTCGGTTCTTTTAATTTAGGTTTTCGGTCTGTATTTCTTCCGGCCATTTTAGTCTGAAGCAAGTTTTTTCACAATACAGATTTTTATCAAAACTTCTGCTCTTGGCTTCAGTAAATAATGGTCTTACCACCGCCACTTCAAAGACTTTATAAACCTGTATATAAACACTACGTTCTACGATACTTGAAATAAAGTTGTTTACAATATGTAGTTGTCATGGATGCAATGCCAGAAACGACAAGGTAGAAATAGTTTTATTTCGCAATTTTTGTGACATTTTATAATTATTCAGCAACCAGTAAGTTGAATATGTTCTCAAAAATAATCCGTCCTCAATGCGGTGTCTATGGACTTAGACGTTAATGAATACATTTACTGTTATTAGTTGTTAGTTTCCCCTTTCCTAATCTTATTTTATTATTAAAAGTAATAAAGAGAAAGTCCATACAGATTTAGTTAAAAAGCGGCCAGATGCCCATATGCTAGTTATCTGGCCGCTTTGAGTTATCCCTCGCTTGTAATATTTTTTTGGTAAACTGAACTGAACCTCTATGTCATTAATGAATCTGATGGAACCTATGCATAGATGACCGATCTACATGTATAAGGCTTTTTTCAATCCCAGTTCAAAATTAGAATACTGGAGAAACTAAAATATTTCTTTTTTTATTTTTTGTAAAATAATTACTAAGTTTTAATTTAACAATATAGAACTTTGACATGTGAATTACAGATGGACTGACAGACAGATACGAATTCATGAAGACTAGGCATTTGGCTACTGAATCCTAAAATGGATCTTAATATGAAGATCATTTATAATTATGGGGGAATTTTGGATCTATTACCGTTATTAAGTCAATTGGATTGATAACAGCCGATGATGTTAGTGAGATCTTTTGGCTGTAAATTTTTGAAATAAATAAAACGTGTACAAAGTATCATTCATATCTATTTTATTACACAACAGCAAATACAAATATCTGCATACGCAATTACTCGGATGCTCTGGATATTACCATCCAAAGCTTATAAGTAATAAATATTAAATAAGTACATCTAATTCCTAAAAATAAATATCAGATGCTTTTATGCCTAATAAATTAATTGTTGATATTTTTAGTAAAGACATTATTGATTAATAAGGAGAGAATTTCCCAGTGATCTGTGAGATCCAGTCTAAGTAGTGAGCAACTTTAACGTAGACACCAGGTACTCCAGGCTGGCCACAGCCAATACCCCACGAGACGACACCCACGATCTGCCAGGTACCGCTGCGCTCACAGACTAGAGGGCCACCACCGTCACCCTTGCACGCGTCTTTTCCTTCTTCACCACCGGCGCATGTAAAGCCAGGGTTAAGTTCGTAATTGTAACCCAAACGCGTTTGCCTCAATTGTTGTTGGCATTGGCCGTGGGAAAGAATAGGCACATCAACTTCTTTCAGGATGTTCTGGTACTTTCCGTAATCTCCAAAAGCGTCTTTACCCCAACCAGTAGTCCAGCACCTTTGTCCAGAATAGTCAGTGTACTTGTCAGGCAAACAAGCGGGACTGATGTGAGGGTATTTAGTCCATTCGACTGGATGGTCCATTTTTAAGATAGCGAGATCGTTGTCCAAAGTGCCGGCGTAGTAGAGGGGGTGCACGTGGACAGACACGATATCTCTTTCAATGTACGGATAGAACTCCACGTCACGATTCACGTCCCACTCTCCAAGACGAACTCTTAGCTCGAAACCTTTGTATCTGAAAAAGGATATTTGATGTTAGATATCGCTTAATTTTAAAACATTATACTAGAACTTGTATTATATACTTGATTGGTTTGAAATAAGTAAGTCTCTAGTGATGTTGATGAAAATACTAACGATTTAACACAGTGAGCAGCGGTCAAAATATGAAGACCATCAATGAGTGTTCCACCACAGACATATACAGATTCCTTAGGGTCCTTCTTCAAAATAGCTGTCTGCCATGGGTATTCTCCGAATTCACTTTCACCATCGACATAAGCAGGAGTCTTGATTCTGCCATTGATTCCTTGCGAGTGCCTGATGCCGCACTGCCCTTTGTTGGCTGCTTGTGGTTGAAGAGGACGGCGACAGCAAACCTGGTTTGGTGTGCACTGCTGCACCGGAGGACGACCGAAGTATCCTTGACGCTACGAATGAAAAAGTTTACATTGTATTGGGTTACATCGATCATTTTTAAATTTATTTTGGTTGAGGCAGATGTGCAAAGGGAATTTAAGAAATGTGCATAAATTACCTCTTCTATAATTACGGACATATTTCCTACATCGATTTCTCTCTTCCTTCTCGTTTCAGGAAATCGGATTGTTTGGTATCCCCGATTTGCCCGAGGAGGCGTTGAAGGAAGGTTAAGGGAGCGGGAATAGGACGATCTATTCACATGAGTAGCCTGATCAGAAACGTCAGTAACTTTTTCTAATCTATCATTATAGTGGAGGCTTCTATAATAGGGTTGAGGGTAATCCTCACTGTCATAATTTGGATCACTATCATCTTCGTAATCGTGATAACCCCCTGAAGGTAAACTATTACCATGGTAGCTATATGCCTTATAGTCTGTATAATGTGGGGAGTAAATGGGAGGTCCGTTATGCACGTGTGGTGGTACATAATTGGGAGGAGGGTGAGGGTAATGAGGTCGGGGGGGTGGATAATGGGGAGGGTAGGCTGGTCCTGGATTTATGGGGTATACAGGAGGAAACGGTTGATGAACATGATAATGTTGATGTTTATTCAATAAGTATTGTTTTTTTTCATCAAAAATTTGCGTTATGGCCCTTAGTTTACTCTGGCTGGGTGTAACGTGAAAATGTAAGAGAGGTTTGTAAATTTTTTCACCCTCGACAGTTTTGGTAACTTGAAGAGAGAGTAAGGGATTGACTACGGCTAGTCCCAAATTAATGCCACCGGCCATTATAGCATTGCTAAAAGGATGAAGGTGTGGATTTAAAGGATGGAAATTAGAAGTCTGAGGTCCCTGGGGCAAGGCAAAAGAGACACCAAACGTGGGCTCCACATGTTTTTGGTCATGACCGGTATGCTCGTTGAAACCAGGATATCGAGGCGAGCGCTGTAGTAATATTTTTGTATATCAATAAATTATACCATAATGAAATGTTAGATTATATGTCAGTGCCCATTGTTTAGTATATCTTTTATAAACTGTTACAATTAAGTTTGTCATTAAAAATGATATCTTAAACTAAACGTAACAGTGTTACCTCAGGTTCCAATATGATGAATATAGTCAGGAGAATTGTTTTCTGGTATGTGAGTGCTTAGGAAAGGAATAGGAAAGGTAATCAATGTTATGATGAATCTGGGGTAAAGCTTCCCTTAGTGAGAATAACCTTGTAAAGTAAATGAAATTATTAAATGGGTTTTATGCTTACCGGTTCAGCCTCTTTCGCAGCTTCAGAAGGAGTTTCTTCTTTGGTTTCTCGTTTGCTTAACTTCTTTGTTTCAGTTGCGTTGGTGGTGGATTCTGCAGTAGCAGTTGCCGTATCAGTTTTGTTCAGATTATCTAGTTGTTCCTCAGTTAATGCAGAAATCTCGCTAGCTTTGTTTCGAGGGTCAATCGGCAAGTACAGGTCGTCTCTGCGACCGATTACTTCCTGGCTTGGACATTGGTCATAGTTAACACAAACACAGTCAAAGTTTTGTGCTTTAGCTTCATGGTAGTTTTCAGCGTATCCATTGCTTTGTCCGAAAGTTGATGGACCTTGATTGTAAATATTGTTTTGCGAACCCACGTGTAGTTCTTTTTTGTAAAATTCATTGTTCTGAGAGGCGTAACTACCTAATCCGTTTCCATATTTTTGATCTTCGAATGCGTTGTTGTTGAATTGATTCGGTAAGCCTTGTGTCAAAATGTTGCCATTATGACCCACTTTGTTAGATTGATGGCCGTATTGAGATCCGTAAATTGTGTCAGATTCATAAATCGGTTTAGTATCAGGATTGAATCCTCCTGACATGGGTTTAAATCCACCAGATGTTATGCTGCTGTAGTCACCACCACCCGATATAATGTCAGACGATTGAGATCCGGAAAATTGAGATCCAAAAGATTGTGTATTCAGTTGACCTACAGATCCAACAGGGATTGCCACTGGTTTGATAATAACTTTGGGATCCTTGTTGTCTTCATGTACGTAGTGGTGGTGGATGTGTTGCTGCACAACGGTGTCTGTCTTTGTGTCTGAATGGGACGGGTATTTGTTGTAGGCTGGTTTGGTATTCTCATAAGCGTAAGGTCCTGGGGTCGCATAAATAGGTGACTTAGTAACGAAGTTTGATTCGTGGGCGTTGTACAATGCACTGTTCTGTGAGAACTGGAAGTTGCCTCCTGCCACGCCATACTTATCCGAGAAACCGGGTCTGACATTGCCACCGTATCCGACTCTTTTAGGTGGAATTTTCTGTGGTCGTGGACGGTACGACATAGGCTGAGGCGGACCATAAGCTCTTGGTGGGCCGCGGACTGGAATTGATGCAATTGGTTTTCCAATGGGTTTGATGTCGACTGGTTGAGCGTAAATGACTTCATCCGGAGACAGATATGTACGTTTTTCCTGGCTATCTTCGTCTTCACACTGAAAGGAATTAAATATTATGTCAGTAAACAGACATTATTTTACTGATTAAAATTAAATTACTTTACTGATAATAAAGACAAAAAGTTTGATGGCATGATGTAGATAAATACCTGTATTAGGCCTAGAGTACACAATCTCCCTTTGATTAGGTTCCTAGCTTCAGCGTCGTCTCCTGAGTCCAAAGCTTCCTTGATCGTAGGGTCACTGTAGACGTCATCGAAGCCACCCAGACTCCTTCCTTGCTTGCTGCTGACTAATTCGTCAACAATGTCATCAAGTACTGTGCTGTTAGATTCAAAGTTTTTCTCTTGAGCTTCGGGTAACTGTTCTCCTTGTAACAAAGGCGAAGCATTCTGTTGTGATTCGTCGGCGGTTTTAGAGTCTTCCTTTCCGCCCCATGACCACTCTGCAGTGGTACTGGCGAATATTATTGGTAGCAATATAAATGTTAACGTTGACCACCGCATGATCTGTAACAAAATTGAAGAAAATGCTGATGTCATTTGATCCTTATTTTGTAAAGCATGTCATTGTTTCGAAACTGCGAACGGAGAATCACTTTTACTTTCGCAGACAGTTTGTTATATAAGGCTACATAACGTCAGCGCCGTGTTGTTGCTGCGCGGTCATTCGAAGGCGCGGGGCCGCGAAAGCACTCTCACACAAAGTATACAGCTTTAAACATGTACATTATACTCATGCTAGTTAATATCGCGATAGTAAATTGATTCAAATATGTTATGTTTTCTGTTAAGAATAATTTTAGGGTATAAGGAAACATCTATCGTTCAACTCATAGGTCTTCTGATATGTTTTTGAGGTCACCTCTTGTCTTTTGTTATGAAAGAAAGTGAATATTGGTGTCAGTGTCGTGGTGTCGACCAAAACTGGCACAAACAGTTCGTTGGCAGGCCGCGCGCGTTTCGACCGATGCGTCACAAATTCGGTAACCGTCGATAGTAATAATTATGTAACTTCCGATTATTTCATCTTGTTTACTTTATGCAAGAAGTTATCGCAATCATGAGAATATTCGCATTTTTTTATTTCCGCACATTCTTAGTTTACGCGGTTAGTAGAGCGCATATGACAAAATGAAAAATTAATGCGTTATGAAAGGCATGCGATCTTATGCAGATGTTTGAAAGTAGTTGTGTGTGCGATAACTGTCTTACTAAATTAAAATTGAAGTATGGTTAAGATATAAGTTTCTTTATAAAATTGATTGTTTATATCTGTTATTTAAATATTAAACTATGCGGTTATTCCTAAATAGATACATTATATTTTATAAACCATATACAGACAATTTATGTTATTAACCTGGACCAAAATAATTTAAATGATTTAGGGAAACTGTATGGACTGTGGTAAGTGCGACATGGTTTTGTTGTTATGCAATGTTTTACATATTCCTGATGTAGTTGAGACCGGCGCAGGCGCATAAGAGACCGGAAAGTGAAAGTTTACGCGAGGATCATTTACTTGGGAAACTGCGTACTCCCCATTGTATGCAAATTTTTATAATTAGAACACAATGCTCTGTTTATTTACTTTTTTCTAGACGAGTTACTGATTTTATCACAATAGCTACTGTTGAATTTTACGCGCATAAAACAATAAATTGTAATAATTATTCTGTGTAAAAAAAATTAACACATTTGTAAGTATTGAATCATTATTGTACATCCAATGATCGTTATGATTATTGCGAAGTAATTATATTATTTATACAATTTCTGTGCAATAAATGCGAATACACGATGCGGTAGTTGCTTTCCTCCGTCGGAAATTGAAAGAGAAATTCTATAACAAGTTTGTAATTGTGCCGCTAAACATCAGTCTAGTTTCCTTCACCGCAAATCCTGTGACGTAACTTATAAACACGAACTCAAAACACTGGGAACTTACTTTAAAGTGGTTCACTCCTTGTATCACTAAAACTTATTAATGTTCAAATATTCACTTGTTTACCGGCGCACTGTCTGCGTCCGAATGACTGCCACTTCTACTACGACGACGCTTTATACTTCGACCAACTCAAAGATGCACGCGGGCTGATTTTGTAAGACGATCGACGCAGCCTCCTACTACGATACTCTAGATAGCCAACCGAGCGACCAAACTTGGGTACATCTTATCGCTAAACGACTGTCGTAGAGATACATGGGTAGAGGTCATGACGTCTGGTATAGCATTGATCGACCCTTGGTTCATTCATGTTCCTAGTAGATGTTTGGCAATATGGGGTTTTTGAGGCCGTCTTAGCGGATCTGTATTGTAAACGTTGGCGAACAGGGCATTAAGTTACTGATGTCATACATTTGATACATGCTGTGAATGTTTACGTGTGTGTGTGTCAATTGTGTCCCAATAAAAATTACTTCGTTCTATTGCCAAATGAAGTCAGTCGATAAGTAGAATTTGGTAAGCTAGTTAGTTTATTTAGAGTGTGATGAACGCTAGTTAGACTGAGTAACTCTTTAGTTCCATAGTTGATATTCTCGTCTTGGAATTATGCCAAACTTGAAAACACTTACTGTACGTGTATATTGTCGCCTAAGATTATCATAATCAAACTGTATAGCGATTATAGGAAATCTTTTTTTAATACTTTGCACTAGACAACCGTAAACGAATACACATTTTTTTTAAGTATTTTAAACTACGTTAAAATACCTTCTCTAATCAAAATTTAGGCAGCATTTTTTTGTCGAATATCATCATCATTAAAGTCACATCTTTTCCTGAATCCAATCTTTTAATAAAACTGCACGGTATAATTAAATTTCAGTCTACTTAACATATCTAACATTTACTTGACAAAATGAAAATTTCGTATAAACAACATTTGATTTCTACACAAGTATAAGTATTGTATTGTTATATAACCTGGCATAAGCCACCCACACCGCTGCATGGTTGGAGCTCACCCTTCCATAACAAGATAATGATCCACTTTCTCAGGACCATAGTTTTCTAATAAGGCTCGATGACCCAGTAACTTATTACTCCAAGTATCATTTGCTTATTGCCTAAAAATACATTTAAATGTTAACTAGACTGATGAAATGTTTTGGTTGGTACTTACTCTTTGCAAACAGTAAGTAAGAGTAACAAGTTATGATATTTAGAATTATTTCTTAAAAGCACTAGATTCGGATTCCTAAATGTTTAAGCATATGTTAGTATATTATATAGGTATGTTACTATATATGGTAGTATCTTATATGTAAACAAAACAGAATGTAAAAAATGCATAATTTACGGTATAAACAAATATTTAGACACTCTAACTTATCTCTCTTTACCTCAATAAATAAACTATCTATTAGCGGTAGACAGTCTTTTTAATTTTATTGCTTCACTTCTTCTCATCTTACAAGTATCTTGAATATTATTAAAATATGTGATTCGAATTTAATTGTTTTTATTTGTCTGTAAAATTGTTATTACTTCCAACGTTTATTTTTACTATATTTTAACATTATGAATGTTTTTTTTATTTATTTACATTATTTGTTAATTAGCCACAGCCTGGCTACCCAATGGACTATACAATATTCTGAATAAAAAAACCGCACAAGTTTTACGTCATAGCGTGTCAGTACAAAAGACATCAACGCGCTGTAAACTAGCCATATCAAAAAAAACCATAACAAGCCAATGCAAGTTTAAGCTTACTGTGATTGTAAACGGCTTAATTTATTCTTATGTAGATTATTAAATTAAATAAAAAAGTTCTAAACAATCATAAAAACAAGGAAAAAGGAAAACTGAAAATGTGGATGTTTATGTATTTTTTTCAAACATTGCTTTTGCCCATCACACATGGGTTTTCTCCTGTATCGTGGGTGGTATAAACATACAACTTCATATAGACAATAATTTGTTTTTTACAAATAATGCGGTGTATCACGGTGGCCTAGCCGATGCATCAACATTACAGTCAAGAATGTTATGACTGATATAATTTATACTACCACTGCTATTGCTAAAATGCAAATAGTTACCCCCAAGTTACTTCAACAAAAAAAAGAAAAATGTTAATAAGGATATACGCACATATCGTTTTGAGTATGTGACCATGTTTATGTTATTAAAATGCATCATTTGGTTACATAACCTAAACACCGAGCTAATGTGGCAAATGCCACCCATTGTACTTAAACTGTTATGTAATGTGTATGAAGTGCGTTCATATTCATAACACAATAACTAAAGTACTTATCTACTTAGTAAATACTAGTACATAATATGTATGAAGTAAATAGTTTTTTAGATACAAACAAGATTTTTTGTCTGGTTAGTTCATAAGTTCCAGGATTAACAATCTATTATTAAACGGGTATTAACGCGAAAAGTAATTCTTTAAATACCGTGGGAAGACTTAAAAGGCGTTAATACCCACTTGATAATATGTTGTTAACATGAAAAGCGAAAGTTTAAAAGTTAGTAAGTCCCGGGATTCATAAAAGTCACTTTGAAGACATTTTTATGGATTTAGAGTAAAGTCATAGCATAGCATTTATGGTCATACAAATGAAAAGTGTTAAAAATTTTCACATCAGTCAGTTGAAGATATCAGCTTCAAAAATTTCGTAACAAGATTCCATTTTACGATCACACATCGACACATTGCAAGTCATTTAAAATCTTGTTATTAACTAAACAGAATTTAACTGTTTCTTCCGTGTAAAAGTAAATACATAATTATATGATGTGTATTTATGAAGCATGATATGATGAAGAAATACATGTTCCGTGTATTAAGTTCCGTCGTCCATTTTGTTATGTTGAAAATACTCCATTTTATTTATTCCAAACAATTAAAACATCTTCTGGGACTGCAATCATACTGTTAGACAGGGAACATCATCTTTAAAAGCTTAAGAGATATCCAGACTGGATGCTAAATGTGGAATCATGTCAAAATGCCGTCAAAGATACATAGGGGGTCCTTATTCATTGATAAATAAATTAAGTTTTGAGGTTAATGCTAGTGTTCCATTTTAAAGTGCATCACTGCAATACCATCCAACAAGTTTTACTAGTCTTAGTTTACAAATACAACTAATAATGCAACTAAACATTGAATGAAAAATTGTAGCCATTTTTTTATTAGTGTTACCTCGTGCTAATTATAAACAGGATTTGATTTTTTCAACATTGCGCATTTGTGCACCAATGGCTTGCACAAGACGGGCTTTCCAGCGCTGAACGAGCCGGACCTGCGCGGGCGCAATGCACGCTGACGCTACTAAACATTTGCGCAAGAGTTCGGTGAACCATTTCTATGACTTCAATGTTCTACTCAATGAACTTGCGTATGTCTTGTTACCAAACAATATCTATACGTTTATACTTAGGTATTTAGGTTTGTTAAGATTATGAAGTGTCGTGATATGTCATCTGCATTCGAAAGTAGATCAAAGTGCTGAAGATTTAACATTTGTTCCTACTTTAATAAAATTGATCATGTCTACTTTGGGTCTGTATTTAGGTTCCAAAAGAGTTATATGGTATGCAAGATGAAAATTAAGGGTTAGGATGTTTAACTTACTTAATTTTAGTTTTTCAATCAAAGATAAGCTTCTCCTCTTTAATTTTTGCTAGTTAAATCATTAAATAATATTATCAAAGAGTTTCAGGAACACTTAACGTCATTTTAAAAAGCAGCATGTTAAACCTTTAAAAGAAAATTTATTCACAATTCACAAAAACGCTTACATAAATATATAAATAAATTATAGAAACATTTCTATGAAATAATAACATTATAATAATTTACATAAAATATTTCGTTTCAATGAAAACTTTCAAGGTTAACTAAGAAGTTAAATGTTTTTGTTACTTTTTCCTTGTAACTGATTGTTTGAATCAATCATATGTATGAATATATATTTGTCCTTGACACGATACGTATGAGGACATGAAGAGCGATCGTCTGAAGGATTGTGAAATGAGGTAGGTAGCTATGAGTCACTGGCGTTATGTAAGCATCTGTGTTTTTGTTTGTGTCTGAGACGCGATATGGAAATGCAGACTGTTCTCATGAAATGATAGACAAAGGTTTAGCGATTAGCTAGTTTTCAACAATTTTACTAATTATTGTTACATAATACATCATTATGCCTTTTAATTGAGGGGAAAGCTCGGAGTTCGTACAGAATGTAACACATTTTTCATTAGTTCTGTTATGAGTCCTTTGTGATAGAATGAGAGTCTATTGCCTGAGCCAGATTACCAGGTACAATGCTACGTAGTTTTTCTTTTCAATGCTAGACTGAAATAAATATTTCTGATAGAACCAATAACAGAACTGCTTGACTAACCCAAGAATCAAAACCCAAAACCTAATACTCATCGGTCAAATGATATTTCTCTTAGATATTTTTTTGTTCATTTACGTAAGACGCGTCATTATTATTTTATTTTATTTATTTAGAAAATTTACATATACAACATTACAGCTTACGCCATTAAATTATATACCTATATATTATATTAAAATTTTATTCTGTTTATTACTACAGATAGAGCCAATGATACACAGGGTGGTTTTTGGTTGGTACCTAAGATTTAGACACCCCCCTATACCCCACCCAAGGCAAGAGATAACATTTGATAATTTCGTCCGCTCAAAAAAGGAAAGTCTGTTTTTGAAATAAAACCGAGTGTTTGTGTTACTTAAAAAAATAAACATTGCTTTTATGTTATTTCGTCAATATAATCTCGTGTTCGGTCGATTATACCAAAGACTTTGTAGTATACATAATAATAAATACGTAACTGACATAGATATGTACCAAATAAACATGTTTTACAAAAAAGTGTAACGAATTGATCATAATTTAAGATGAATATTACGTAACAGTCCATTACGTCAATAAGGTTTAAATTGTCAGAAAAGTGTTTACTTATTTGGTGTAATTACTTTACTGTTTGATTGGTTAGATTTTGTCTCGTGCACT